TTAATGCACGTAACAATCTCATAAGTAACAGAACTTGAAAGAGTTAATAAAAACCATCATAATTCAAATTTGTAGAAATAAAGACTTCAATTCATGCATCAATATCAGAAGAATGTTTTTGGCTTGCAGAAGACATTTTATTCACAAAACTATTCTATATAGGAGCAATATAAATTTAAAACGTAACCGACTTAAAAGCTCTTGCCAGAAGTATAATTCATGTTCACTGTAATATATGGTTACAGTAATGTATCTGCTGGAATAGATACGATGAATATGTTATAATGTATGCATGTTGGTAATGAATAATTTTAAAATGTTTATTTTCAATTTTTTATGGTATGTAGTATATATAGTATGTATTACCTATAGGAGCAAACGGGCAAACATGTCACGTGATGTTAATGATTACGCTGACCTGTGATAACTGCAACGCAAAAGTCACAAGTGAATTGCCATTCTTTGAGCTGCCCCCCTAAAATAGGGGGAGGGATGAAGGCATCGTTTATTTAATTATATGTATCTTATAACCCCACTGGCCGCGTTCAGCACATAGTATATTCCCTCTAGTATGTTATATATTCACCTAAGTCCAACAAATAGATACTATGTGTAATTATTACTTTTTATAGTTATGTATATGCTATAATACTTTGATTTATTATTATTACTTACTTGGTGAAAAGTAACAACAAAAGTTTGCTTTAAGACGGTTTTTTGTGAGAACGACCTTTATAAAATTTAAATATCATTAGAGGTGGTCAATTTAAACAAAAATTACATAAAAAAATCTCGTTGGTTCTGTAACGGATATACAGAAAGATGGTAATACTCACAGAAAGATGGCAATTTAAAAACAAAAGGCTGAAAACTTAAACTATTAAAGAACATTATTAATAAAATGCGTCATTTTAGCGCCTCCACAATTAGATTGGCTAGATCACATGGCAGCGATAAATACGGCTGTAACTCACATTGTGGGCTTCCCGAGATTTCTTATACCTCGCTTATTACCAACATTACCTTTCTTCTAAACAATGCGTACGACGAGCTGGCTTCTGAGTTTAAAAATTTCATCCAGAAAATTTATCAAATACATAATTTCATCCTGACTGACTGGGTAAGTAACGCTTTAAAATATATATAATAATAAATAAATAATAATATAAATAACATGCCAAGGAAATTCCATGAATTAAGTAATAACAACAAATTTAAGTCTTTAGTAAAACTAAACCTATGTAAAACGTTTAAACACTATTACAGATTAATTCGATCAAAAATTTGCTTGGGATTGACACTGCTTACTCCCACATTTACGTTCCTATCGTTGTTGTTATGTTTGAGAGTGATGGACATTTAATTTATTTTTTCTTTTTTATGTGCATTTCGTATTTTGTTTATTTTCAGTTGGTTTATTTTTCGTTGAGTTTGATTGGTGTAGTTTTTTTTTTTGTGTGTTTAAATGTGAGTATAGTGTAGGCTTATAATGTTATTTCATATTTTTAGTCTGGCCTACCCAAATGTCCTCGGTCGTTGATCATGACCAATATCGGTTAGGCTACACGATGGCTGGGGCCTGTATGCCATCTGTATGGACAGGCCGACTCAAAACTATGGTCCTTTCTTCAAAAGGTCTACCCAGACCCTATACTGTTTGTTTCGGCGTTTCTTCCCAGAGTGAGTCTTAGGAAATTCCGGCTCCTTCTATCTGCAAAGGCCGACTTGTAAAAATATATGAAAAGATTTACCTACAGAAATAAATTTAATTTATCATTTTCGTTATCAGCCTTAATTAGGTAGGTGATCAATCGATCATCATGAAATTATGCTTATACGTACTCAGATGCGCTTTTAAATACAGAGACATAGTATTTACTATTTGTTCAATAACAATGACCTATATAATGTTTCTGTGGTATAAAAAAACGATAAGTATATTGATATAAAAATTATAATGCGAGAAAAGCTACACTCGTAACAACTACAGTTTGCCTGAAGTTTGACGCCCATAATACTACGCCATGTCCCTTACTGAACCATCTAAAGGTTGACTGATAAATAACGCCATGTGTCAATAAGTCCGCTTCGTGCAAATCGTAATGCAGATAGTGTAGAAAATAAAAAAAAAACCGGTCAGGCACGAGTCGAATTCGTGCGCCGAGGGTTCCGTACCTACCCAGATTTTACGTGAATTTTCGCGAAAATTTGTAAGTACCAAAATTTATCTTAATTTTCAACTTTTTTAAATTCGAAATTTGTCCATATCTTTTTATCGTGTTGACTCAGGACCTTGAGTTTTATCCACCTAATAGGGACCATAGACTTCAGTATCTGGTATAAATTTCAACTTGCTAGTCTACCCGTTTGTGGTGACACATGGACAGACGGACAGACGGTTTTTGAGGTACGAAACCCTAAAAATAAACATAAATAGGTATGTTCACTTTAGATGTCAGTGTCAGTCGTCATTTTATAAAAGTTTTTTTTTTTATTGTTGTATTAGAGACAATTTCATAACATTATACCTGTTCCCGTCTCTTTTTTTTACATTTGACAAAACAAGAAAAATTCACGTGTCAATATCTAAATTCCTTAGGCCGTAGAGTTTCTCAACCACGCATTTCACTTAATGTATAATTACACTTTTCATTACGTTATTCAAACAAAATAAGCATCCTAAATGTTGTACCCGAAAATATCTAAAACCAAATCTCATTAGAATACTCAAACGCCACACAACGATTGCGGAAATCGATATTTCCAATTGAAAAGCTCGACGTAAGGAATAGCCGAGTCGTTATCTTGAGGCATCTATCTTGTTCCGAACGTTGGGAAGCAATTTTTCCCTATGCCCCCGACATGGAACAAATTATCATTCAATTTATATCAGTCCGTCTTTTATCGTGTCCCATTCTCGACGTTAATAAGAAATTGCCGGTAAATATTTGATAGGTCTTTGGTTCTTATATTTGGGGTATAGTAATACTCGAAATTGAAAAGAAGATTATAGATATTGTACGTTCTGTGTATTGTAATGGTACTTGGAACTGCTAAACATATATATTGGAAATATAAGACTATTCGAACTCGGCATAATTCATTTACAAAAAATATTGTGGGATACTATCATAATATTAAATGTTGTCTTTCTTTTAGAATAACTGACTCATGTTCTAAATAAAGTAAAATATTGCGGTTTTCTTACCATAACTTGAAAAAGACATTAAATATTAAGGTTTTAAAAAAAAAATCAATAACTGAATTGTAGTAATTTTAGTTTTAGCCTTAGAGTATACTGAAGGCTTAAATTAAAATAGATTCATGTTAAATTTCAAATACTTAAAAAGGTTAAAAATCCTATGCACCGTACACCGATGTAATAATTCTATATTTACATTCTTTCTAATATATGTACATAGTATATTAACTGGCACAACCTAGTACCAGTCAATTATGGTTTGTGATGAAGACTAGGAACTGATAATTAAATAGTTACTTACTGGTTGGAATCCCACTCAAGACTGGTACAATAACAGGTTCCAAAACTAAGCGGGAACTTAATAGTAAACACTAGATAAAATACATTTACTCCTGTACATTCCTTACATTTTTCTATCTTTCTTTTTCTATATCTCCGATTATAATTAAGGTACGAGATTCGTTTTAGTCTAACAACACTCAGTGGTACGAGGATTTCATTTGAGTTTTTACCCGTATAAATTGGTTGAGTTTGAAAGAAGCTAAATGTGAGCATTCAACTTAAACTTAATGTTGCGGAGTAGCACGGGTTTTCTCTAGTTTTTTTATAGTATAGGGGCAAAACAGGCAGACGATTCACCTAATAGTAAGTGATGCCACCCACGGATACATGGAACTCAAAACTCACAGGTTCCTTGGTGTCCTTAGCCCTCCTCCCCCCCCCCCCCACGAGGATTTAGAGAGAGGAGGGAGTTTTTGGGCTTTGGTAATCTCACTCAATGTCTTTATTAATATTTTGATATTAACTTGTTTATCGTGTTGTTTATCCGATTGTCTAGTGTTCAAGTACAAAATTTCCATAAATAAATCTTATTTACAGTTTTCTAGAATAAAATAATTGGATCAGTTTACATTAAATTATACTCCCAAATTATGGAGGACGGTGATTAAGTAACCACAATTCGTCACCAGCTGTGCTGGAGTGCGGTTATCAAATAAATCTTAATTTACTGGGAGCAAGATATTGAAAAATTCAGGCATCTGGCAGCAAGGCCCCTTAATTTTTATATTATCCACTTAGAGGTGTGTTCTACGAAACAGTAATTGGAAAAAATATTACTTAATGATACTCTTAATGAAAATATTGTTTTTAATAAAAAGAAAAGCAGGAAAAATGATAGTGTCGTATAAATGTTTTTTTTTATGAAATAAGGAGGCCAACGAGCAGACGGGTCACCTGATGGTAAGCAACTACCGCCGCCCATGGACATGTGCAAGTCAAAAGTCACAAGTGCGTTGCTGCCCTTGGAGCCCAAATACCTCCTCCCGCTCGAATTAGCGGGAGGAGGTATTTGGGCTCCGGTAACCTCACTCACTCAGTGAAAGGCAATGAAAGAATAGCTTTACACCGGTTTTCTGTAAGGCCGTGGTATCACTCCGGTCGAGCGGGCTCATTCGTGCCAAAGCTTGGCTCTCCCGCGGTAAAATAATAACTATAGAATATCCAAAAAATCTGTAAAAGCCGTAACATGAGCAAGTTATTACAGACCTTCTCAGTATAGGAGTTGAATTTAACGTTAAATTAAATGAATCAATCATAAATATATGTAGTTAAGTTGGTTTGAATACGCTTCCAAAACTCAAAAAGTTCTCCACGGATTGAGTTCAAATTTTGGGCCGCTATAGAGCTTCATAGATCATTTCTAGCTATTATTCGCGTGATTTTTGTGCCAAAGCGAAGCGTGACAGGGTACAGCTTGTTATTAATAATAATGCATATTACGGGCGTGAATACCTAACTAGTATACATCTGGCGTAGGAACGGCCTGGTGTTCAATATCTACAACACACACATTACACATTATGTATCTGTGATGTTATTACTTTTCTGGTACAATCTGTTCTGTAACGGTATGCGCTCCCTCTCGGGATCAGGATGGCAAATACTCGGCAAAACTTTAAATACCTGTTGCGGAAACATTTATTAAACTCCTTATCAGATCCATCTTAATTTTTTTTTACGTTCTCTTCTAGAATTATTGTGTGGATATATAATACAATTATATGTATTTATAGGTGCATATGTATATTTAAATACTTATGTATTGTGTGTGTTACTATTACTTATTGTATACGTATTATTTATTAAAAAATATTCTAATGTAATTAATTTAATAAGTAATCTGGGTTTATGATTTCCTATATATGCTATATTTATCATAAAATCACATTTTTAATCTCTTTTGTGCATCTACTATGTTTTGGCTCTGCATGGCCCTAAGGTTGATTGGGAGAAAATGCCTTCGGCGTTAAGTCCGCCTTTGTCACATTTATGCGTAAAGTGGAAATAAAAAAAATGAAACATTAGTAACAAAAAAAAAACTATTAAATGTAAAGTAGACAATTTCGATTTCACCGATTTCGTAGCTTACTTGGAAATACGTACTCGTATACGAGTGCGTGTTAAGTACCCTGCATGAGGCAGAAGACATTCCCTCCGTCTCAATCGGTCTTGCGATTTGCGCTTTTTATGGTATAGGGTGGCAAACAAGCAGATGGGGCATCTGATGGTAAGTGAATACCACCACCACGTCCCCACGCTACTCACTACTGCGCTGGGACGACACTTTGTGTGATCCATATATTGTTGTTCTGAGTCTGGATTTTGTGTCCATTTCATGTATGTTTGTAAAGTCCCAGGATATATTCCGAATGTTAGGTTAGGTTATTTTTAAAAAGAAGAAGAAATTGAGCTACGGTTACCTCGGTGAAACGCAACGAAGGAATTGCTTAACGTCGGTTTTCTGTGAGGCCTCAGGGTCACTCCAGTTAATCTGGCACATTTGTACCAAAATTTTTGACGGACGAGAGAGAGAGACGTGAGAGGGAGAGTTTTTTTTCATTTGTAAATAAATAAATGGAAATAGCTCTCCCACGTCAAAAATTTTATGAATTTTTGACTTAATGCCCAGGGCATTCTCTTCCAGTCAACATTTTGGTGGTGTAGAAATCTTGTAAGGTAGGTGCATAGAGGTTACATCATTATATTAAGTGTTCAATGAAAATATATACTGTTCACTACATACATAATCATATACAGACACATACACATCATATATTCACATAGATACACATATATTTATATATACAAGTATATTTATATAAATACACAGACATATTATATTCGTACACTATGAATATCGGAAATATACGAGTATATATAACAGCCCATGTCAAAATTCGGCTCTAGATTTCGTTCGTTGCCAGGTTTAGTTACAAGGACTACGCTTGCATTTCCTTCGAGAATACCAAGTCATTATCTGCTTGGGAGGAACATTAGTATCTCGTTGGTGAGTGTGGCTAGTTCAGCTTCATTTGCAGTGTTTGATCTGCTACTCTATAGGGCTTTCATGTTCGTTGGAATAACTGGTCTTCTAATATATCCTAGGGCACGCATATATGGAGAATTCAACAAAGACAACCATTGACGAAGATCTCGAGTCGAGAATATCGAAACAACAACATATATGGTTAAATTTGTCACGCAAAAGGTTTAATGGATCATCTCTGTATAATATTTTGTGATATTAGATTTTGTCTACAGATGGCAAACTATTTTTAAATAAAGCTTATTACATCTAATAATCTATGTGTACTCTTGATAATAATCTATGTTTTTCTCTTTAAACCTTACCTTCATGCTATAAATCCTTAACCATAAAAATTTAAATATAGCCAGACATAAAAGAATTAACCGACTTTTGCAAACTACGTTACGAGATACCTGTAACTCGTAGGTAAACAAATAAAATTTATACGTACTTCAAATAACTTAGTACACTTAAACCGAGGGATTCTCACAAGTAATACTTTTCATACTTTTTTGCCCGAGATTTATGTTAAAAAGTTCGTCCATTTCTCATTTTCCCCCATGCCCGTTCTTACTGTGTGAACGATTATCATTTCTTTTTCTTGGCCCAAAAAAAAGTTTCTTTTGTCAGTTACACCCGCCTGGTCCTTTTCAAAATAGGAACAATGAAACGTTATTTAACATTAGGACGCTATGTTTATTTAAATTCGTGTTCTTATTTCAAAAGTGATTTAATATTTTTTTCTTTTGTCCCTACCTTGTAATACTGTCGCCGTGTCTTAACAATAGCATTCTTCATTCAAATTTTAAGAATAATATCTGGCAAATGACAGAATATATACCTTAAAATTTTAGTCCATGACCAATATGTATGACAGGATCTGCATATAGTTTGAAGGAGGAAGCGCGCGATAGGAAACAAAAACAACAAGTCTTCAAACTTTTTTATTGCGTCATCCAAGCATTACTCATACTGTATTGCGGTTGACGTTCAGTTTACCCATACAAAATATTTGTTCAAGTGTACACATAGTATAATAAATAATTCGACTAGCTTACTTCGTTGTACGTATCTACAGACTGGTTGTTACCTCACTGTTTCTTAAATTTGGAACGTTTAAAGTAAAGTGCCTATTACACTTACAGTCAACAGGACCTCCTAACCTACCTCTAGCTATACAAATATTTGGTGATCTATATTTATCCTCTATACTCCTATTTCTACCTCTAGGTATGGTATGAGTAGCAAATACAGATTCTATATCTCTATAAGGACTATTTCTATTATTAATTATATTTCTATTATAAATATTATAAGTGCTTTGGTAATCTGCGTTATACAAGTCGTTCTTGAATTTTTTGTCCATGTTTTGTTTATTAAATATAATTGCAGAATAATTATTTTGTTCAGATATTGTGTCGTTGTCTGTGCTTAAAGTTTCATTGATATATCGTTGTGACATCCACACGTACCGCGCCATGGGTTCTTCTGGACCCCACTGCCGAGACGGACGGAAGGCGGACGATATCTTCTGTAAAAAAAATTGTAAAACTACATTATTTTAGTGCAATACTTAAGAAAGATTTTCAAAGCTATAACGAACTTACATGATCGAATTTATTTTTGGAAATTAATAATGCTTACATTAAAAACACTTATAAGTATATTAAAAGTATTTATTTCTCAGGAATGAGTTATAATGTAAAGGACACAAAACGGTGTAAAACTCAAGATAAGTGTACTTTTGCGTTTTGTGTAGTTGGAAAGAAACCATCATACTATAAGTTAATCTCCTTTTTTTCTCTCTCATTCTCTCTCTTATATATATGTCTTGTTTTCTAAAAATGGCTTTGGTATGTTAAGAAGAATATGTATATTACTTTGCCAATTACAAACTGCCATAAGTTACGGTGACTGCTCAATATCCAGAATTTCGGATACTTGTTTGCCAGTTCAATAATATAAAACTCTCCTTGAATTATGTATACAAACCTACAAAGCTTGATGCTGTTTCTGTCATCAATGTGGTTTCTTAATAGAGTTTTCAGAATTTGAGGGTCGCTTTAATTTATGAACTACACGTCGTTGCAGAATTAATATCTTCCGCTAGCAGAATGAGTCGATAGAAAATCATTACTTACAGATATTAAATTAAACTGCTCCTCTTTTGCTACAGCTACCGCTGCCATCACAACCATTATCACCAAAATGGCTACAAATACACCAAGCAGAGGCCAGAGCGTCTGACCCAAGCTCCAGGAAGCCCGGAGTAAGGACCGCAGCCACCAGCCTGATACCCCAACAAGTAACACTGGAGTCGTCCACCATGTAGCTACCCAGAAGTATGGTAACTTCACTCCTGTCAGAAATTCTATGTCAACTGTCAGGTAACTACATCCTGGAAATAAAGTGTCACTGTCAGTAATAAATTAAAAAACGAATACTCATAACTATGTTTAACTAAACCGTTAACGTTAACCTTTTGCGTTAAGATATTATTACTCATCGATCAAGCCCTGACCAATCAGGTTCCGAACTTTCGTAGGAAACGAAAATTTCTAGTCACTATTTTCTTAACGCGTATGAATGGACTAGAGTAGAGATGGAGTAGAGTCACTACAACATTCTGAAAAAATATTCATAGCTGCCAATATAGCAGTCAAGCTAGGGTAACGGTAGTAGTACTATGATAATACTATTTTTAACTACTAGGAAGGCAGACAAATAGTAGACGCATAAGTGAGTAAACGTCGTTAAACCCTATGAACCCTAAAGAAAAAAGTCGGAGTCAACTTGCAGTTGCAGTCAACCAAAAGGCAATCAATGGCAATCAAACGAATTTAGTTATATGGATAAAAAACGTATAATAGTCACGGGAAGAGTTTTGAATGTACTGCCATTTTTTTTTTGTCTGGTATGGACGGCACGTGTAGCCAGTCTTCGGCCCGTGTCATCACTGGTGCTGCATTCTGACGTCACCGCACCCTGACCCCCAAGATGTAGTTGTAGTAATAGCAGTATGACTAAATTATAACTTACCATAAATAAAGATAAAACCAACGATTTCAACAGCACATGTAAACACAGCAAGCACCGGTACCACTAAATCATCTAATATGGTAGCTACTTCTTGTCCTCGAGATAACACAGCCACCGTGAGGGCAGTGCCTATCGCTGACGTGGCACATGCAAATAACCGCCATTTATCTCCTGTACGACGGTGAAGCTTGTCATAAACTGGATACAAAAGTAACACCTGGAAACAGAATTAAAATGATCGTCAAAATATGCAAACATTTATGATCGTTTTGCCTCTGCACACGATTAATTGTACACGCAGTTATGCTCATATAATAAGCCAACACACTAAAAAGGCAGTAACTATATTTGACCAGTGTAATGTACCGACATTATGTAGCGTTGATCTTCAACAATCTTTTTCTTGTATATAATATGGATAAAATCAAGCTAGTTTTCAATGATTTGGCATTCATAATGTTTTACTAGACTATTGAGGTGAAAAAGAATTGTTTGGCTATTAGGTATATTATACAAATTATAAAAAAAAATATTCGGTAATCAAATATCCTTTCTTCCTTTACAAATTGGCGAGAAGTGCTTATACTTGTCCTAGTAAGGACAGAACATACCCAGGAACAAAAATCTTGAGAAAGAACATTCTGTAGATAGCTTGTCTTTATTTTATACATAGTTAAGACTTTTATATTATATTTATCTAGCATTTTATTAATCTAAAAACTGTATTCTATTAAAAGGAAGTTTATTTGAACAGAGAACATTTGAAAAAGTCATTTCAAAAATTTCAAACGATTAACTGACGATTTTCCAGGGAGTAGTTAAGACGGGCACGCCGTCATCGCGGCGGTAAGACCCGTTATGGATAATTGGCTCGAGAGGCGTCACGGGACCCTCACATACCGACTGACGCAGGTGATCAGGTGACAGGGAGGTGACTGGGAAAGGATGTTTCGGGGATCACCTGTGTCTGATCCGCAAGGAGCCAACGCCTGAGTGCCACCACTGCGATGGCCAGACCGTGGACACGGCTCTCCACACGCTGGCAGAGTGCCCGGCGTGGGTTGAGCAGAGGCGAGACCTCGTGGCGGCCATCGGAGTGGGAGTTCTCTCGCTCGATAGCCTGATTGCGGCTATCGTGCGGAGCGAGAGTGCGTGGAACTCTGCCGTCTCCTTCTGCGAGCAAGTTATGCTCGCGAAGGAGACGGCGGAGCGTGACCGGGAGAGGTTTAGGACTCTCCCGGCCCGCCAGGCCCGGGAACAGGCCAGGTACCGCAGGCGACTCAGGCGCCGGAGGTCGCAGAACGACCTCCATCCTCCATAAGCGCAGGCCTGGGGGTGACAGGTGAGGCCATCTGTCACCCTAGCAGAAGCAGGCCGGGGTGGCGGCGAGCGCGTTGCGAAGCGCGCTCGCTTCCAGGGAGCACAGGGAACATGGGGTTCCCACACGGGGGGGGGGGGGTCGTCTACTCGTCAGTAGATGACCCAAGGTATGTCGGGGCACCAGGGACTGCCTTTCTAGGGTATACCTGGTTCCCCGGCTATTAGTACCCGAGACGGCGTGCGGTTTTAGTCGGTTCGGGTCCGACATGCCACCGATAGGTGGTATCCGAGGGGATTACCGCACGGAAAAAAATAAAAAAAATAAAAGGGAGTACTTAAGAAAAGATCTAGTCAAAAGTGTGATACGAACTGTCAGCCGTCAGTTTGTTCATCATTTAAGGACGTGTTGGATCGATGCAATTACATGATATAAGCTTTATTTTGCCTTAATAAAGAAATTTTAATATGTTTATTATAGTTTTTATAAATTAATATTCATTTCGTTTAAAATTTCAAAACTTAATTTAATAATAACGTAACGAAAAATTGTGATTAATATCAATATTATGCCATGTTTCGCAAGATTTTTCAAACGATGTGCTCAGAAACGATTAGTTACGCACTATAACACAACTTTCAGACCACATATTTAAATATTACCTCAATTCCATTTAACCTGCAAAAATGCAAGCAGAACACTAATATGCTAATATGTGCATTTGGCGATACAAATTATACCGCAGACGCATTTTATCTTGTTTTATTAATCCGTGGACAACATACCGATATGGTAAATATATTATGTCATACCTAGTGAGTTGGTTGACAAGAGTTGATTGAATTGATATAGTGATTTTCATTAGTTCCTGGTTACCATCAGGGAGGTTTAGTTGCTTATGTCCTACACTGACAATATAAAACATCAAACTGAAAATGTAAAAAGTAAACTTACCATAGAAATAATACCGGAAACAAAGACCATGCCGAAGGCAAGCAAAGGCCACAATTTATCCCGCATTTCAATAATAGACGATTGGTATATTAAGACTAGAATTGATATGAAGCTTTTATCCTTCCGACCGTTGCCTCCAATAGACTCCCACATTAAAATCCAAAGCCATCCAGCGAATATGTTTGCCATGATCAGCAGTGCTGAAGTCCTAGAAAAATATGTACAATTGTAATTATGATTGTAAGTACTAGTTATGTTTTAAAAACATAGCTGCTGTTTATTTTTCTTGTAAACTATTCTAACTAATGGCTTTGGGACAATATAAAGGACTGTAAAGGCTTAATCATTCTTAGGGTGTTATAAAGCTAAGACCAATATTGAGTAAGTGAGTTATGGAGAAGTATTGATAAAAGTAAGAAAAGTAATTTTTCATTATTCAATTTTTAAAATACTTGCAATATTACAAGTAATTTCAGATTTTCAATTTTTATTTGATGCCTTTTTTATGTTAGAGGGGGCAGACGAGCAGACGGGTCACCTGATGGAAAGTGACCATCGCCGTCCATGAACGTCTACAACTCAGGAGTCAGAAACGCGTTGCCGGCCTTTTTTTATATGAATAGTTTACCACATTTAAACTTATTTATTTATTAGAACCATGTGTTTATTTCAATAATTATACTCTGCCATTCGTGGTAGATAGAATTTACAAATAGCAGACCTACAACTAATAACGTAATAAAGTAATAACAACTTCTACTAAATAATTCGTTTAACAGCGACTAAATTTCAACTACAGTGGTTATTTTTTTCTAATATTTTTATGAACTTAAATGTTCTCTGGACACTCAAACCAAGCAAATCGCATTAGGATCGCACTCTACAAGCCGATATCTTTGAGATACAAGGTAAACTCCTTTACGAGTAAATGTGTGTTATTTTAAAGAGACTTCCAAAAGGAAAAGATTCTTAAATCGATTTTAAACTTTTTGTGTGTGTATAACAATATGTGTATATGTTTGTCATATGTAAACCGCTTTTTAAAATTATTATTTTTAATTGGTTTTTAATTGAATCTATTATTTTGATTGATTATATTCTACCTAAATAAAAAAACTCATCTAAGAATGGAAAATATAGGGATGAAAAATATGGATATTATGGCCTTGGGCGTATTCAAGGTTTTTGAAGTTAACTTTGTGTACAAGAATTTTAAATGCAGTATTTAAAGTTGAAGTCTTATCAAGATAAAATCATTACATAACATAGAATGGTTGATGTACACGATTTACATAACATATGTATAATTTAAAACAGTTATTGGAGCGATAAATATGTTCTACAATCACTAAAATGTTGAACTATAAATGGGAGTAGTACAGAGTCATCATCATCATCAACAACAGCCTTCAGCAATCAGAAAAACTGAATAAAGCCTGCATTATTTTCTGCCAATGCAAGCGGATACTCGGCAAAAGCTGGGGACTATCACCCAAAATTACTTTATGGCTATACAGGACAGTCATAAGACCAATAACGGTGCTGTTGTCTGGTGGCAGAGAACAGAGCTAAGCACCGTCATAAACAAACTGCAGCAATTCCAGCGACTCCCATGCTCCGCGGTCACTGGCTGTATGCGCACAACGCCTACTGCCGCACTGGAGGTGGCTCTAGGTCTGCCACCCCTGGATCTATTCATACAGCAGGAGGCCGCCATGGCGATCATTAGACTCAAACACCTGGGTCTATGGCACAAAAAGGAGGGATCGCACTCTAAATTATGGGATCAATTGGTGGAATACGAACCACTGATAGCAGCTCCATGCGATAGAATCCCAAAACACCATATCGTCACAAGAAGATACTACATCCAGATACATGGAAATGACCGAGATCAATCCGGCATTAACGAAGTCCGAATTTACACGGACGGTTCCAAGACTAGGTCAGGAACTTTAGCCGGAGTTTTCTCGCAAGACCTAAATATAAACATATCACTAGCGTTAGGCCAACACAGCTCCATATTTCAATGTGAATGTGTGGCAATAACTTACGCCGCCACAACGGCCATGTCAAGGGGTATCAAGGACTACAACATCCGAATAATATCCGACAGCATGGCCGTCTTAAAGGCATTGGAGGGCAACACAATGACCTCTGGTGTTGTCTTCGAATGCCACCAAGCACTGGAACAGCTCGCTATATTCAATGGGGTCCTCCTCTAATGGATTAAAGGGCACAGTAATTCACACGGGAACGATGCCGCAGATGAGTTGGCAAGGAGGGGCTCGGCAACCCCAACCTCTGGCCCAACCCCACTCCTGCCCATATCGTTTAACCAAATACGATGCTGGGTCAGGCAACGGACCTGTGAAGCACACAACCGGAGGTGGAAAAACTCACCCGGCTGCAGACAGTCCAAACTGGTGCTGAATCAAGTCACGCCACGACTCACCTGCAGACTGATCAGTCTTAGAAGACCGGAAATCAGAATGGTTGTCGGAACTATTACAGGACATCTAGCCCTGAACCGACAACTATTCATAGTCAATGCGACGGACAGCCCCCTGTGCAGGGGATATCTGGAAGCTGAAGAAACGGCCGCCCACGTAGTCCTGGAATGCGAGGGAGTGGCCACACAACGGGCAAATATCATTCCTGATATAAAGTCGCTCCTAGAAGCCTGTGAACGCCCCAGGAGGCTTCTGCGCTTCTGGAAGGAGCTTGGCTGGCTCACCTAGTCAACCAATCCCCGACGCATAAAGGACCACTCTGAGTCTAAATGCGGAAACCGAGGCCCACAACCAATACCAATACCAAAAATACCAAATAACAGTGGAATGAAGACGAACAACAGTGGTTACCCCGACGTGATTGGAGCCTTCAAGAAGCTTATCGTGCATACTCCTACAGCAATCATGTCTATATCACTGAAGGGTAGACAGAGATGTCTTATATGCCTGCATTTTCCCGACTATACTCAAGACCCACGCACGATAGATATTTCAGGAATTTATAACTTAGAAGTTATATGAAAGGAAAGATCGATTAGAAGGTAAAGCAAAAGAAGGAATTCGACAGTATAAATAATAGTTGCGCAAGTCAGGCGCAACTTGATTTAATTATTACAGAAAATACAAAGAGTAGATAAAATTGTTTATTTACCAATTATTATTTAATACTAACTGCCCGACAGACTTCGTTTTGTGATTGTTGAAAAGCTATTGGCCTGTAGTTTTCGAGAGAAGCGAATATTAAAAAAAATAAAGAAAACGTCACGCACAGAGAAAGTTATTTTATTTGATGACATGCCGGCCCTTTTTTATTTTGGGACATTTACATTCATTCTTTATGCAGCCAAATAAATTTGAAGGCAAACCACAGATAATCGCCTTTTTTTTTGTTTTGATGGACGTCAAATATTTGACAACTTGGTCAGGTGTTTCAATTTACTATATGGTTTGTATAAGAAAACAAAAGAGCTGTTTTTACTATTTTCCTTAAAATTTTTAAGTTTTCTCTCTGCACAAGAACCTTCTTTGTGACTTAACGAAAATATGCTAAGAAAATTTGCCGACTTGATAAATTATTTTGTGATTTTTGTACTTGGCCACACCTTTGGCCATTACACACACATAAGGATTTAAACACATAAGGATTTATATAAACTACAGTAAGTTTTCTTTTTTTAGTACTGTTCTACTTATATGATATTTTGAAGCATAAACATCTTATATAAATTGAATAACTATTTTGCTATCAAGATGAGTTTAAAATAACATTAGCATAATAATTTTAAACGTTTCCGAAATTCATTTCCGACGTATTACATAGCGTAATAGAATAAAAAAAAATTGTTAGAGAATTTTATAAAATTTAAGGAAATGTTCGAGTTAAGCAAACATAGTTTAATTATTCTTGCTTTCTTAAAATAATGATTATGAGTATGACAGTATGAAATATATTATGATTGGACAAAACATTATATTTATTACCGCAATTATACGGACCTTGCGTCCAATTAACCTTAATATATTTGGCAAACAAATTGTTACGGATAAGGTTTGTTAACAATCGTATGGTATTAGACATGGAAATCTTTTATAGCAATTTAAGTTTGGTATAGATAGAATATATAGTACGGCAACTATCAAGAATATCCGGAAATGATCATAATGTTTAAATGGCACCAGAATCTAAGAGTATAGAGGTCATAATTCTAAGATTATATAACAAAGCATTACCCAGATGATAAAATTATTAAAACCGGGTTTTTTAACACGAATACTTGAATACATTTTTATGAATACATACATCGTATCTAGGGAAACCTGTTACTTGCTATATAAAACTCTTTTACACTTGTGTTGTTAAACAAATTGTCACGCTGTAATGTTTACAAGAAATAGAGAGTCGAACCCACAGCCACAAAACGTAGTTGTCGAATGTGATCCCACCGTGACACAGAGGTCGGAAAAATGTTTGAAATTAATAATGTTGTGGATTGGATTTACATACAAATATTATCATACAGGTTAAAATTATTCAGCGTACACGATTTATCAATAGCATAATTATTAATGTAACTAACCTTTATGTGTAAAATTGACTTAATCCGAATCCTAATTCGAATCTTACATATCCGTACTGAAAATCTATATGATTCTCACCAAATATATAAATTAACATAGATATTTATAATTCTTTTAAAATAAAACTTACCATCGAACATCAGAATTCTTATAGACAGAACCACCAGCACTAATTAAGTAGCCACTCATTATCTGCGTGGATAAAAGCGCCTGGACCAACGCACTGAACCAAATGTATGGCTGCGACAATGGTGACCATTGCTCGCAAGATTTAAACATCGTAGTCAGCACTTCGATGTTCGACAGAAATATACAGAGTATTATTGCGATAGTAACGATTACAGCGGCTAGAATTCCTATAGCCGTTTTCAAGGTTTTGTGCAGACGGTAAAGGCTGAAAAAAAAAGTCAAGTTTTTAGGTATTCTTTTATTCAAAATGAACATACCCTAACTAATATCTTCTCGCAATATGTTTTAAAATACTCGTATTATTTAGTTATAAGCAATTTCACAATCACTGCTTATGCCTTTCTTTTAATATTTTATTCTATTTTTTATAAATATTATATAGTTATTTTGTGCGACTGTTTATATGTTATTCTTATTGACAATGTAACTAATAACGTTTAAAAGAATATGTTGAGAAATGTATTGGAACATCTAGTTAACGATTGACCTATGCTGTCGGATAAGTATTCAAAAGTACCTGTTATTAGTTTAACCGAAGACACCGTATTACAGAAAAATAAAGGTAATAAAAGATAAGCTAATCTGACTAAAAGTCGGCCAGGGCCTTCCAGTCAGCTGTAGATCGGTTTGAGGCATTTACACAAATTTACATTAACCTTGTATATAAACAAAAGTACTTTATTTGTATCGTAAACTCAGGTGTTAAAGTCATTGACACTTAAGTAACGTATACATAGTTTTAATTAAATATTACTATGCCATTCATTCAAAATGAAGAATTAGTTGAAATGTGAGAAATAAAATGATGATGTCATGATGTAACCTCTGCCCGTGAAATAGCACTTTATTGGACACTTGATTTCCTCTTGTGAAAAGCACTTTGTTCTAGATAAAATATTGATGGTGAGGTGAATGTGTGTACAAAAGCAAGATTTAATAATGATCGGCAAAGTAGTGAAGGCGTGAAAAGGTAATAAATAAACCACCGTTACATTCATAATTAATGAACATTAGGATTAAAATGGCCCTAATCTTAAAGGGGTTCAGTTACGGTGACTTAAAAATGTGGCATATTTACCTGGCATATGGTATTTTAATGATATAGAGAGGATGGTTTCGAGTCTCAAGCAAAAAAAAAATAGATAAGTTAAAGGCAAGCGGGTATTAAAAACCTTTCACGCGAGTCACTAATAGTTAGACGTCTCGGTTATTAATCACTCGTTACGTAGGTACATTCAATACCGCATATTTCCATACGATTTATCTCTCAATAATCGTCACTTAATTATCGTTCACTACAACATTTATCGCTGTTGTTTTTTGAGTTTCCAAAATAAATTGTATCTTAATTTGACCCAGCTTTTTAATAGTGAGGAAGTATGAATGTAATAAATTAAACCAATTGCGTTAAATGTCTCTGTACTTGTGGTCTTATTACTAGTAATTACTGAAACGTAAGCCTAATTATTTTAACAAAACGAGTCAACGTCCGTTAAGTGTATTTTTCCTTTTTAACATTTAGAAATATTTAGTGATAATTATGTTTAGGTTACCTGTATAATCACTGTAGCAAAAAGAAATATTTTATTTCAATTAAAACTAAATTTAGAGTCGTGTTAATGTAATCTCTCACATTAGAGTACAAAGTAAGTGCATCATATACTATGAAATTATGTATGTTTTGTTAAATCTTGGTTTACTGTGAGAAAAATTCTAATACTAGTGAAAGTAATATAACAATAATGAAATTCGTTTATTATTGTTTTAGGGGGCACGGTAGTGCTCCTGGCAAGTTGAGCAACAAAGAAGAAGGAAGACACAGCCTTGCTATCTTTCTCAAAGCTATATAAATGTAAATATTTCTAGCTTTCTGGGTATTTAGTAACTAGATTTCACACAACTTGTGTCACAAACTTTATTTCATTTAAATAAAATGTAATTACTGTAATTTAAAATTTGTAATGGACCAAAATAAAGTTTTAAATATGGAGGACACTTTCAAAGGCAAAGTTTGAAAACTTAAAATAGTTTATGTACCTACTTGTCACAAGAGACTTAAATATTTTGAGATTTATTATTAATTTATTGTATTTGAAAATTAATATTTTAAAAGTTAGTGAGTCTAACATTGAGAAAAAATACAGAAAATAGAAAATCTATTTTCTGTATTTTTTCTCAATTTCTTATAAATTACAAGAATCTGTAAGGAGTCTATGGTCTTAACATTACAACTTCAATCGCCCAATTAAGACGTACGGAACCTTCTCTATGCAGTTTCGACTCACACATGCCCGGTCTATTTACTATACTTGAATTGTATTTCTCAACAGAACATAAATAATTATAAGAGGTAGAATTTCTTCTAACTTCTAAATTGACGTCAGCATTTTTAACAAGATAATATTATAATTATTCAATGTCCGGGTACGGCTAGGTTACATTAGCAAATTGTGTAACGTTACCAACGTTAGAAAGATCTTACCCCAAATCCGGTTTTAACGATATTCTTAATAAACGTATAATAGCCGACAATGTACGAAATATTACATCTAATAAGAGTATTATTACTTACATAATGGGCACGAAGAACCACAGCAGAAAAATTAAAATTGCCATTATGCCGAGATACTGTGGGTATTCCGTGAATGGCGCCAGGAATGTGGAACTGAAAGTTTGTAATCATTTTTTTTCAAGATAATGGCAATGACAACATATTTTTAAGGAACCGAAATTAGAACGTTGGTATCTGATGGTGAATAATTTTATAGAAAATAAGGTTTTACTTTTATTTTAAATACATTTTGATCTTACCGTCTATACAGTAATGGTAAGCTGTGAGATTAGCCTCTACATATTTCTATGACATTTCTGGCTATAAATACTGTTACAATTATAAAATAAAAACATTACATTTGTATTTGGAATCTGGCATTGTTAAGTTAGGATCACGAATTTTTAACTGTGGTTTTGCAGATTGGTACATTTTTTGCAACGTCCTGATACGTTTTTAAAATTATTTTATCAAGTTTTTAGCAATAATGGTTAGAGCTTAACTTGAATCAACGATAAACAAGAAAGATATAAATGTGTAAAAGTAAAATCAAGGATTTGACTAATATTCTAGTTCTTTTAAGTCTACGTTTTTGTAATTCCAACTAATAAAACAAACTATAAAACTCACTTGAAACACTCAGTTGCATTCATTTTATTTTCGTACCCATTCTGAAATAGAAATGATTATACATCAATAAAAATACCAGTTATGTAGACTGTTGAATGTAAGTCGAATTTTGAATATTAAGCAAGTTAAAAGTATTTTCTATTGTTGAGTTTGTAGCTGCGTAATATGAATGATTTTGTAAAATATGTATGTATTAGGTAACTAATGCGATCATGTAAAACGCACTGATTGTGGTCACAGGCTGGCTAGAAACTAGACTAAATTAGGCCTACCAGGTCACAGCCAGTATAACTTGGTCGTAACGTAATTGAAAAATATATAACACCTACTACGTGATCGCGATTGAGACAATCTGCATCGCGCAATTAAAATGGGCAACCACTCGAGTGGGTGATAATTATGCTTAGCTTTTTCTAAGCTTTAATAAAGCTTTAGCCACTAGATACTACCGCTTATACCAACAAATTAATATTTTATGCAAAATTAAATATTAATCTTGTCTTAACCATAAGTCTTTAGTGTTTAGTGACTTTTTAATACTTACGGGTGTCATATACACCTTAGTGCAGTCTTTCAAAGGAAAAGAACCCTTTGCTATCCATATGAGGTAGGCCGTGGATAAAGCGACGTACATCACGTAGTACACACAGGATAGATATGACGTCAGTACTTTCAAATGACCGACACCTGAAACAATAATATTATGATAAAAACAGCAGAAGGCGGCATTAATTCCGCAGTTATTTTCTGACAGACAACCTTTCGGTGTTCTAGAGACGTGCTTGGCGCGTTTATAATTAAGACTGTATACTGTATACTGCTACATATACATACGTACAAATATAAATCGATATAGAATTGTAAAATAAATATTTACATACACATATACAGAATATTAATACATTGCTGTAGAGCTGGCGTAACTCTAGATTACAAACTGTACCGGTCACTGGAAATCCAGTACCTATTTGCAATACTAATCGTGTCAATTCTGTGTGACAGCTTGAAGCTCTATATGTTCCCATGGCGCTTTGGTTACCTCACTTATCAGCAGAATTTACAATAGGCATTACTATTGCTATTGACCACTACGGACTTCTAAGGGGAATAGGAGTCACTTTAATTTTAGCACAAATCTATTTTGTTTTGAACTGCAAGAAGCTTAAATTCGAAAGCAGCTTCAATTCTAAGAGTTTCAAGAGATTAAGTGTCTTAAATATCCCAAACGTGAAATATATTATTAATATTTTATTAATATTTCTTTTGATATGAATGCATTTTTAATCAGGAATTACCTTACGGCTTATTTAAAAAAATCGTCTTTACTAGTAACTTACAAACTCCTAAAATAGAGAAAGTTGTAACGAACTAAATATTCAAACATATACAGTAGTAGGTAGTCATATGAACAGTAAAAGGAATGCTTTAGTAGTTTTCCGTCCACATTATAATCGGATTTGGTTCTTAAGTCCCGTCGTAACTTACAGTAAGAAAAGGGACCGTATTTATTAATCCCCTTGTAGGCTTTTTACTAGTAGGTAACTGAATAACTGAATATGTTAGCCTTGTGTGTGGTTTATTTATTAAGTACATAACACATACATACATAAGTAGAAAACACAACACTCTTAAGAAATTGATGTACGAACAACTCGCTTTTATATATTTAGCTTTTTTGCTTCTTAGTAAAGGTATAGTTGTTCGATATCAATACGGCAATACCGTCTTTTATCTACAAATGAAAACTTTAGCCATTTGGGTTAATGTATTCTGGCAACGAAGATATTTTTAATAAATTCATAAAACAATCTCTATGGTAAAGTAAATAGGCTATATTATAATATACCCTTTACCAAACATCTCTATGAATAACACTAATTAATGTTCTAGCACAGAGAATTAGCATTACCATTCAACGTTGCAGTTCTGGCAGCCTTCTGGGAACGCTAATAGTAGGTCGTGATGCGGCGAAACGTTTTGACGCATCCGTGTAAATAGTCCTTATGTTTAGGATACGAATGCACTAAAATTCTGTATTGGTATATTGATCACTGGCACCACTAAACTATCAAAACATTAAATATACCAACATAATAAAGATATAGTTAATTTAAAAAGGCGCTCTGTAACTGCACTGCCAGTTAGATTTCAAAACCCTTTTAACCGACTTCAAAGAAGGAGGATGTGCTCAATTCATCGGAATCTTTTCTTTGTAATTAAAATAAAACGAATTTAAGGAAGGAATATATCCTGTGTGGCGGGGGACTTTACAGACATACATAAACCAGACACCACGAACACACAGATTCAAACCAACAATTTGTGGATCACACAAAGTGTTGTCCCATGTGAGGCTCGAACCCACAACACTCAGCACAGTAGGAAGCGGCGGCGTGACCGCTTAAACCACTCAACCATCCGTGCAATCGTATTTGATATCTTATCTTATTGTTAAGGCTTTAAACTCCTTCGGATTACGTTAGTAAAAATAATAATTATAAATGTTGCTTAAAACTGTTATTCCTTAATAAATAAGAATTTACTTCACCTCTTAATATTGGCACAGCTCTCCAGACGCCAACCGGGTCCTGTTGGCTCAACTGACCCATGGCTAGCTGCAATAATGTCGTCGGGAGGCCTACCACCAACAGCCAGAATGTATATATCACCAAGTATGGTACAGCACCATAACGGTACGCCTCTTTCGGGAGTCGAACCGAGTTGTATAAGGTCAGGGATATGGCTATAGTGCATAGCTGTGTTTTTAATAAATCGCATAATGATTTTAGTGTCTGAAACAAAAAGATAAATTGTCTTAGTTTTTAAATTGAATTAATTGCGTTATTTTAAAGTAGCTATTGCTCAAACGATATACGTGGCGAATCAACAAATCAAAACAACAATAAATTGCTCCTTTTATAACTTAAACCAATAGAAACCTACTTAAAAATATAGAATTTTAAGAAACTGTGTTAAATTTATAAAGAGACTTCGAAATATTTGTAAGGAGTTAACCTCGATGAATAATTATCACTCCTATAGAATTGATTTTTATTTACATATTCTACCTAAACCTTCGAGACGGCTTGCGATTTTTTAAATAAAATTTGACCATGCTCAATATTTGTTTAAAAAAAGGGAACAAACAATTTTCTTCATATATTAATATGTCAAATCAAAGGAAAATAATAGGTCTTAGATCAGAGTCTAAATCAACATGGATGACGTAATTACAGCAAGAAGTGTTATGTTGGCGGTCTCGCACATGTGGCAAGATGCACGACGGTTACATAACTTACGTACATAACATTATGTATTGTTGACAACGCCCGTAACGATATAATTTCAGGTATTCAACTACGAGTATAGCCATAGTTTAACATGTTTATTGGCTACGGTGTCATCCACGCCTAATATTTTTTATCTTTTACTTTTTAAAGAGTTACTGATCCAGACAGAGTTTGTGGGTTCGATTTGTTGGAACGTTTCAGATCCGTGAGTTGCCGGACTTGGACGACAGTTGCGTCAGTGGTGGCCTTCGATAGCCCGGTGATTCTTCGCACCTCCTGCCCGCCTTTATCGTGGTTGCCACCATGACTAGGAATAGCTGGGTCTGCGGGAACGGGTGGCCATGGCCTTTGTTGCGTCTGCATGGGAAGGATTTGCCCATTATCGCCACGCTGGACAGGCGGGTTGGGGCGTAGATTGTCGCACCGGTAACGCTGTTGCCCGTCACCGGCCTGTTGTATTTAGTTGTTGTATACTAATATTATAAAGAGGTAAAGCTTGTGAGTTTGTATGTTCGCGGCAATCTCCGATACTATTGATCCTACTTTTAAAATTATTTCATTATTAGAAAGGTATATTATTCCTGAGTGCTACTTTTCACTGCGATAACCAACATACAGGCAGAGCAGCGGGCCGAGAATTGACTCGGAGTCTAAAGTCTCGAGAAATCGTGGATTGAAAATCCCAGCTCCGCCAGATCCTTGTGGAGGAATGAAAGGAGCGCCGGTTACGCCGTTAACGCGGCGGTAAGACCCGTTATGGAGGAATGGCTCGAGAGGCATCAGGGAATCTTCTGCCACCACTGCGATGGCCGGACCGTGGACACGGCGCTCCGTACGCTGGCAGAATGCCCGACATGGGTGGAGTTAAGGCGAGGCCTCTTGGCGGCAGTCGAAGTGAGAATTCTCTTGCTCGATGATCGCCGCCATGGTACGGAGCGAGAGTGCGTAGAACTCCGCCGTCTTCTGCGAGCAGGTTATGCTAGCGAAGGAGAATGCGGAGTGAGACCGGGAGAGGTACAGAACAGAGCGGTCGGTTCGAGTCCGACATATCACCCACTGGTGGGTGAAAAAAAAGGGCAGAGCAGCGGGCAAAAGGTAGTTTATAATATATTTGACACATAGCTACTTAAAACAAGGAAAATAACTAAAAATGAAAATAGAAAAAGCAATTTTAAGAAACAATAACATTAGTGGAGATAGTAGATCTAGAAAGCAAAGGTTAAGCGAAACAAAAAAACGTTACTAATATTCTTGTTAATCTTCCGTTTTAGATAAGGACTTCGTAAAGATTTTTATATTGTAAGCTAATAAATTATATGCCTTGTGGAAGTGAAGGTGTTACTGACGTAAAGGGAGGATCCCTTTAATAAGATTAGGTGTTCACGCTTGCTTGAACGCGTATTAACGTTTATTGAGGGCAAGTTGTATGTAAAATAATAACATAATTTATGAATAACTTTTCATTGCACGATGCAGAATCAGAAGTCAGTAAGTTATGCAGTTTTTGGAAGTCGGCTAAATTTTAACATATTTATTTATTCACACTTTCTGCGTTACAACTTGACTTAATGCCATATGGCATTATCTATGAGTCAACCTTAAGATGGTTCAGGAAGAGAGTGGTGTGCAGGTGCACATGGATTATGAAAAAAGGAGGGAAGCTATGAAAAGATAATATCATAATTAATAATGCTATTTAAAATACATAGACTAATACACAAATAAATGTTAATATAATCTAGATAAGGAATAAAATAAATACAATTATATCTGGGGTGACAAGATCAGGAGGATATTTCTGCTAGCTGTTTCTTGTAGAATTCTCGGACTAATATATTCATATATATATAGCAGTGCCCTCCTTGTTGAATTCTTAGGTGTTCCTATCAAATTATTCAGAATATTATTACTGTTGTCCGTTTCCATGGTTACGCGTCTCCGTTTTCTTGTTCTCTTTTAAAATATATCTTTTTAAATCATTACTATCTTCGAGATAGACTTCGTTCTTTCAAAAGTTATTAGCCTGTCGCAGTCCAATATATATGTTTAATAAATAAATAATACGCATTTCAGAGTGATCACTGTTCATCGAACTTTATTTTGGTTAATACAACTGCACGAATGGCGTAGTGCTGTAAACGGTCACCTCGCCGCTTATTACTACGCTGAGTTGTGGGTTCGACTACCACATGAGACCAGTCATTGAGCGATCCATAATTGTTATTCTGAGTCTGGGTGTTCTTTGTGTCCGTTTCATGTGTGTATGTAAAGTCCCCAGCGACACTAGCATCCCCGCTGCGGGAGTTGTCTTTAAAAAAAAGGAAAAAAATCCATAAAACCTGATCAATTAGAAGACACCAAAGATAATTCTAATGCACCCTTGATTGACGTCCACTCTTTGGCAGCTAGGAACAACTGCTATAATTTACTCTGTGGTTTATATGGGAAAAGAAAAGTGCTGTATTGACCATTTTTTTCAAGAAATCATAACGTTTTATTTTCTTAATAAACACGTTTCTTCTGCCCTAACCAAAGTATGAAAAAAAGTGGATTGGTCGCACCATTCTCGAGTTTTGTGGGCGGAATGATCGGGCGAGCTAGTGTCAAGTATTTAAACATCTTGATATGTATTACAACTAGCTAACCCGCGTAATTTCGCCTGTGTCTTTCAAAAGGAATAAAGTTTCTCCGTTTTTGTAATATTTTTCATTGATGCTTGGGTCATATTGCCCATGGGGTGATGTCATATAGCTTATGGCTATCGTCAATAAATGGGCTATCCAACACTAAATTTTTTTAATTCGAACTTAAAACAAACAAACTCTTTAGCCTTATAATGTTAGAATAGATACGTTAAGTTCCTATTCAGTGAAACGAGGTTTTAATTAGAGTGGAACAAATTTCTTTGACACATCTAGCGCCCATGTCTTTTTAATGAGATAAGTAAATTAAAATGTAAGACTCATTGTTTGAAACAACAGTAAATCGTTTTGTTTGTTAGAGATTTTAATATAGTGTGTACTTTTATGTAAATGATTTTGTAGTAACAAAAGTCATTTTGTTGTACTCATTTATGGTTATGTTATATGATTTCTCAATTTTGTGTATGCTTTAATACTTTAAAGCTTTTATAAAGTTAGTATTTATGAGGTAATCGATATTATCAGGCACATTATAACATTATTATTATTAAGGTTCGCTCTCTGGGCACTGAAAATTTTCCACCCCAAAAATGACAAAAGAAAATCAATAAAGTCAGCACAATTGGGATTCTATAAAAGACATCGCTTACAAAAAAATTCAAGAAATAGGCATATTAGGTAGTGGTATACACTGTTAAATGTTTATGACACTACAAATTATTTCTACCACTATATAAGGATTGCTAAATTGTTTTAAAGCTTTTATACATAAAAGGAATCAAACTGGATCACTAAGCGACGCGAAGCCCCGGGCATATCTTGATTCTAGGGTTTACACTGAATAAATAAAACATTATAGTTATCAAAATAAAACATTGTACATTTTTTTTTGCATTTGGACCCAATCAACTTGCATTATTATACTCCTATTCTTGGTCTTCCTTATTCTTGGACGGCGCAGTGTTTTCAAGAACAGAGTCCCGTACGTGCGCCTGACCTGTTATTGAAGATGCTTTTAGGAAAGCGACATCAGTTGGTCATAAGTACACAAGTAGAAAGACTAAGACAATCAAAGCTAACCATTATTTTGAATCAACATTCTAAATGGTGAGAATCACAATTTGTTCATTGTGTTTGGTGTGTGTAAAGGAATTGGCATTATAAAGCACCGACACCTTTCAATAATAACATTCAACAACGATTCGCTACTTTTGCTCATTTCTATTGTTGGGTGTACTACCTAGCAGTTAATTAATAGGTATAGTACTTGCATACCGTACGAGTAAACAGAGCCATATACTTATCTTCTCTTTATGCACTGAATTATAAGCAGTGACCTATAATTTTATCAAGGCTGTTTTAGTTTTGCATTACGTTTATGGACTGCATCACATTTTAACTATTGTTCTCACTCATGACATGGATTAACCATATAAATGATTTTTCCCTCTGAGCCTATTTCCCAAACTAGGTTGGGGTCGACTTTAAGTATACTATGATACGGCTGAACATTGATTTTTATGCGGAGCGACTACCATCAGACCTCCACGACCCAAATACTAGGCGATATCGATGTTATTTACAAAGACTGTTGTCGGAATTTTTGGGGCTCCAACAACCCGTGACGATTGCCACAGATGTTAGTATGGCACCCGGGATCATCACACACATCAACAGACTGACCTGGCTGTGGTAACGTAATCGATTACAACTTTTTTTTTTTTTTTAGAGGGGGCAGACGAGCAGACGGGTCACCTGATGGAAACTGACTATCGCCGCCCATGAACGTCTGCAACTCAGGAGTCACAAACGCGTTGCCGGCCTTTTAGGAAGGAGTACGCTCTTTTCTTGAAGGTTTGA